AATTGGTTAATTTGTTAATTTTTTTTTTTTTTTTTTTTGCAACTCTCCAAACGGGCTAGCTATTTCAAAAAAAAAAAAAAAACTTTTGGAGGCGTTCAAAGCGCTTCACCTTTTGCGGGCAATATCCAGCAGAACAAGTCTGAAAAAATTTCAACCCCCATTTCGAGCATAAGACATGCTCGAATTGAATCATCCGCTGTTGCAAAAGTGGCGAAACTCTCCAGAATGCTCACCATGAGGAGAACAATTTTTTCCCTTTTTTTATCTCCATTTTGCCTTTTCCTTTCTTTGCCCTTTTTTGTTCCCTCCTTTTTGAGTAATTCTCCGCAAAACGCAAGAGTGCATATTTATTTTCCAGTGAGGTGGAAAAAGACAATTTCAAGCGATAATTAATTTCGTAAAAATAGGAGAAATACAGATTATGCTGCACACGTAAGGGAAAAAAATAAAACCTCTATGTGCAACCTTTTCAGGAGACGCCTTTTGCTGAATGTCTAAAATAACCTCACTCGTGAAGTAATTTCGAAAACACATTTTACAGGAACAGATGGGTAAATTTAAAAGCAGTAGAGATTATGTGCCATATAGGGAAAATAAGTCGGAAAGTGCCTTAGGGGGAAAAACGAATGATGATGATCAAATGGCTGTGTTAAAGGAACCATTAAATGAGCCATTAACGGAGCCAACCCTTTCACGTAAGGGAATAAAGAAAGCACCATCGTCTAAGTCTTATCTCCAAGGGAACCACAGCAGGAGCGAAAAACGAAACCAATTTCGAAGCGGTGAAAAGGGCGCACGGCTGCGATGTAGAAACTACCTTCGCGATAGGGTCCATAGGAAAGACGGAGCTGCTCTTTCAAGTAAAAACAAAAGTGTGACAAATAGCATAGCTTCGGCGGATTCTTATAAAGCAGAAGATTCTTTTGAAAAATTTTTTCAACTAAGTAGAGAAGCAAAACAGGAACTATCCGAACATGTAAATAAATTATTAAGCCATGTGAATGAGTCGGATCGGTTCGAGACCCCCAGGAAAGATAGTACCGAAACGGACAAACACTGCGACCAGATGAACAAAAAAAGGAACAACAGCAAACGGTCAAAAAAAAAAAGCAAAAAAAAAAAGACAGCCACTTATGATCAAGATGACGTGTACGAAAATTTCACAAAATTGAAAACATTATACGATGGGGCAAATGAAGCCACTTCTTATTTTATGACAAACGTATTAAATAAGAAGATAAACATTGAAAAGAATATCGTGAAGTATAATGATATGTTGTCTAGACATAGTGAGAGCTTCTTTAAAAGGTTTGAGCTTTTCGAACAGGAGGAGGAGTCTATGGATGAGGCAGAAACAGGTTGGCAAGCTTGGGAGGGTCAAAGATGGTCGCAATAAATAGGAGAAAAAAAGCCTCCCAAAGGCATGCCCTTCATGATAAGTTATTTCGTCATTTCGTGAGTAATTGCGATGCTTACATATCATACACGAAGCTGCGTCTGCACATGTGTTTCCCTTCTTTTCCTCTATTCACTCACAGGGGTCGATCTTGTGGATAACATATGTGAGTACTTCACCTATGTGATGTTCTTAACGTTGAACAGGTGAGAGGTTCGGTGGTCAGTGAGTCCAAACGTCGGAAGGAGAGTGTACGTCAGCAGGGGCGTAAACAAACTAACCGTCTCTCCTTTTAGCGTTTGAAGATTGCCCCGTTGATGTACCTCCCCCCTGCTGCATTCAAACCTTTTTCTCATGATATGCTTCCTTTTTTGCATAGTTCATTGTTGTCTCTGACAAGGTTCTTCCTCGTAAAGGAGTACGTCCAGGGGGGCAATTTGGGTGATTCATTTTTCTATTTACATTGTTTCTATGCACTTAACTTTTTTTTCCAAATTTTTACCTTTTTTTTGCGTGGACTGCTTGTGCCCATTTTGTACCATTTGGCATCTCAGTTTGCTCTAACTCACCCATCTGGGGGTCTCGATTCCCGCGCGTGTTTCCCCTTTTCCCCCATTTTTAAGAAAAACGCCTAAAATGCTACATAAATGCACCTTAACATATCGATTTTTTCCTAGCCAATCTGCCTATTGCATTACATTACGGGAGAACAATTCTGTATCCACACGTCAAATTATGCATCTCCATACAACTGCAGCATGGGAAGAATGATAGCTAGCCTAGGTAATTACAACGCCTTTACGATTAACATCTGCGCAGGCAAGCGGGTGGGCGACGGGGCTGAAAACTCTTTTGCAATATAAAACTTCAGGTTGACATAAAAATAAAAGTGTCTAAATGCTTTAAAAATTGCTCTTAATTAAAATGGGCGGGGGTGGGTAACTATGACAAGTCCCCAAGGTTGTCAAAAATGGAGTGTTTTTTTTTTCTTTCTTTTAATTTTAGAGATACAAGATTGTTAATTAAAAGTGGAAAAAAGGGTAAACCACCCATGTACACGAAAACAACTGTCTACGTATTTGCCGCGGTTGCGGGAGGGAAGGATTATTCAAAGGGTAGACGTGGAAGTGTGGCAAAAAAAATGGCACATCGGCTACGAGGTTGGCTGCTATACGGCAAACACCGCGCTGACTAGGAGTGTCGCCCCTCTTCTTCAACGCTGCAGTTGCGCACGTCACAAGTATGACTTGATAATGAGCATCTTCCCGTTGAACAAATTGTACAAATTTAGAACATGCTGCTTGCACGAGACGGCGATTTCGCCCGCCAACTCCAGCTCGAACTTTTTCAAGACTTCGGATGTTTTCACGGGATTATAGTTGTCTAGCACCTCGGAAAGAGAAAGCAAGTTTTTATTCACGTCGCACAGGAGTAAAACCTTCCTCATCAGGTAACTTTTGATAAGCATGTTATTTTCACTGCAGACTTTCTTCCTACCATGGCTATAAATGGACTGAATTATTAAGGTGAATATGGTAACATTGTGCAAAAGATAGTTATACTGCTTGAACAAACACGACATGTTTATAATCTGGTATGAGTCATCCTTTGCTAAAATTTGCTTGAAGACGTTTAATTCGTTTGACACAGTGAGGTAAATAATGTTGTCCAAGAATTGCAGCTTGTCGGTGAACTCCTTCACGTTACTATCTCCAGCAAGGATTCTTATATACATGTTCAAATTTAGCAACAGACTTTTATAATGCAGGGCGGCGTTCTTGCTATACATGTCATTGTGGTAGGCGGCCTGCATAATTTGGTACCTTTTGAAAACATCTTGTCCATATTTCTTTTTGAAGACGGGGTCCAGTGGGATGTAATCTTTACCCGTTGTTTTTTTATCATTACGGGAGGGGGATTCGACTGACGGGATAACTTGTTTCGGAACTGCCCCGTCGTTATTCTTGACAGGGTCGTTTTCCCTCTTGAGGTGGCACATGTCTTCCCCCGTGGTGAAGTCATCCAGTTCTTTTTGCATATAAAGGCGGTCACCATCGCTTAACCCCTCCGTTAACTGATAATAGGAGACAATATAGGTCAGATAAAGAAAGGCACACTTGGCCTTACTGATCATTTTGGTCTTCCTGACTTCATCCGTGATGGAGAAGTAAGTAAAGGATTTATGAAACAAATACATAACTGTATTGAGAATGACTGAATTTAGGTAGAGGGTCTGAATGGGGTAGTTGAACAGCTCCGTTAGGCAAATGTTGAAGGGCGACGAGAAGGAATTCTGATTAAATTGGAACTTGGGCCTGTTCCATTTGCAGATATACTTATTGCGGTAGTTGTAGTTATCCTTATCGAAGCTTACATAAATGTTGCTATTTATGAAGAAGTTAATTTCGTGGTCGCTCATGCTGTAGCTCGCATGCTCTTTGATCTTGTCAAAGGGCAGTTCGTTGCTACTCTCCGCACAATCCTGCGAAACGTTTTTATCACTATGGCGAAGGACATCCCCCATGTTTTTACAACCAAGTATCTTTTCATGGCTAGTTAAATAAACGCTACCTTTCAGGTTATAAAAGTTGGACAGCAATATCATTGGGTACACTGTCTTTATATCCTTCAGCAGGTTGACACTATTCGCTTCGGTTGTGTTTAAAATTTTCATCTGCTTTAGGAACTGAAACTCTTCCAGCGGGTTCAACGTCTCGTACAGAATGTGGTTGTAAAAAAAAGTGTCATACGATTTGTAAAGGGTGTAGCGGAAGGAGGGGACGTTAAATTTTATTAGAATCGTCTGGTTGTCTATCGTGAGGAAGTTAAACTTGTCTAGCATCAATTTGGAGTAGTTGCTTTTAAAGTCGTGCTCCTCCGCCAGGTTGTCTTCATTCAGCCGTTTTAGCATACCGAAGAATTCGTTGTGACTGGGGGGGTTGCCCATGGGGGAGGTGCACACGGAGCCGTTGCTACGCCCATCATGGTCAAGACCCCCCTTGGTGTTGCTCGAGTTGAGGGCCGGCTCCTTAGCACCTGCGGTGTTACCATTGGCCGACTTCCTCGCCTCACTTGTTTTCTCACTTCTGCTCATCCTGCCACTGGAAATCTCCTTCATGGGGGGAAACTTCGTGCAGTACTCATTATGAATCGTGTAGTCCTTTTTCACACTTCCAAACATGCTGAAGTGAAACACACCCCTCGTTGCCTCCAATTGCTTCTTAAAAATGTATAACAACTTAATAAAATAAAAAATTATATTCGAGGAATTCAAAAAATAGGCATTCGAAATTTCGTTCACCTTAAATATCGAATTATTTTGAAAGCACTTGGAGATTGAGTTCTTCAAATTTCTCTGCTGCACAGTGTAATAGTTCAAAATGTTTTTTACCAAATTTTCAGCATAGCTAAAGTACGAATAGCTATACGTGTGTATGAACAAAATGGGAGAGTATGTAATCAATTGGATGTTCTTTATGTTCAGCTTATCAATTAGGGTTGAGAAATTGGTGAAATTTCCAATCACGTTGTTGAGGTAGATCATCAGGACAAGCACATTTATGTACTCGTTGTTTAGAATGGGTTTCACCTTCTTCTCTTCATTCTCCTTCTCCGTCATGCGGATGCGATAATTGTATGAGTACTTTAAGACACTCAAAGCCGCAATGTAATACGTCCTGTTGGTTAACTTGATGTCCCTTTCGTTTTTCTCCTCACCGTTGATCTCAAAGATGGTTGTACTTCCGTTTTGGACATTCGGAATGTGGTACGCTTGTGGGTTGTTTTCATGCGAAGTTTTTTCTCCATTGGTGGCAATGGTACCTTCTTCCCCATCCACTACTGCACACTCGTAGGAGCCAATGGGCCCGATGAATTCATCGACGCTTTTGCACCCTCCGAGGTTCAACTCGTCACATGTGCTGTTCACCAAGTTGTGCAAGTTCGTCACAGCCTCGTCAAGGCTGCTCTTCTGCTCAGACTCACAGAGGTTGTACTTGTCTAAGTATAAAGCCATTTCGACCAACAGCACAACGAAGTTATCATCCCGAAGTTTTAGGTCCATATTATTGGTCATTTGAATGAACATGGAAAAAATTCGGTTAAAGGATTCATGCACATCCTTTTTATACATCACATAAAGGAGCTGTTCAAAGTTGTAAATCTGCTTGTAGAACAATAAAATTTTTTTTTTTTTCTCTCTCGTCAATTCGTTTCCAGGAAAGTTTCCCTTCGATAGGGCCTTCATTTCGGTGCTAATTGCTACGTATAGTTTTTTCAAAATGATTTTCACGAACACGATGAGGATAGCTACCATGTCGTCTTTTAAAAGACTAAGGTGATTTTTAATTGAGTAAAACAGGTTATAATTTTTGCTTTGTTTTAGAATAAAGGAGAGTAGCATGTACAAGTATACCTTCACATCACGCTCCTTGTAGATCTTCAGGACATCATTTTTGTAGTCCTCTATTAGACTATCTAATTTTTTCGTTATGCTTTCAAAGGGTGTGTGGCATTCCCGCTTACCCTTGCCTTTTTTTCCCCCCTGGTGATGCTTACTTCCTGCATGACTATTGTCACTTCCGAAATCGTTCGGGTCACTTTCCCCATCTGCGCCGCTAGCTCCCATCTCGTTCTCCGTGCTGACACTCATCTGGTCGATCGAAAGAACCGAATTCATTACATCTTTGTAGTAGCTAGGGGAGCCCCCTGACCCTTCCTGTCCCTCCACTTCGATGTAATTCCAAAAGGTATAAATATTCTCGGGGAACGTCTTAACCTTCTGAAAACACACATGTATGAAACATTTTTGAAAAAACTCCAAGTACATCAAATCGTTTTTGTACAGATTGAAAACATTCTCTACCTTCATCTCTGGGTTATGTTTGTTTAGTAGATAAATGATGAGGTCAATGTATAGAATGTAGTAGTCGCTGTTTTCTGGAAGCTCCTTTATCAGTTCTACTAAAACTTCAATGCAACTCTCTAGTTTATTGAAAATAAATTGTATGTACATTTTGTACACCTGGTACTGCAATGGGTTGAGAAAAAAATAATTACTCTTGGCGTATTCCAATATCCTGATGCACTCGTCATAATTCCTCAATTTTATGTTAATAAAAAAAAACACTAAAAAAAAGGAAAAGTTCTCTGTGACTTTATTGTTATTGTAACATTTATAATTTTTTAAAAAGTTGAGTGCCAAGTTATAGATTTGTGGGTTATTGCTCGAATTGTTCATGTAGAGGAGGTAGCTGTTGTATAGGAGATACTTCGAATCGTTTGTCTGCTTATATAATTTTAAGGACAAATTACTTCCTTTTTTGAAATAGCTCGTATTTAGGCAGAAATCAAAAAGGTTCCTTAGAATCCTTTCCACATTCACTTTTTCCTTTTGCGCGACTCTCACGTTGTTACTGCTGATATTTGTACTGACGCTATTGCTGCTGGAGGTGATGTTATTGCTCCTGCTTACGATGGCGCTTCCAACATTACCGCTGCTCCCATTGGTGATGCTCAGGCCATTCTTACCCGATTCAGCCTTCTTCATTTTCTCCTCATACAGAGTGATTAACTTTCCACCCTCATTCATATTTGTGTATATGGTTCTTAATATGTAAAAGACATTTTCATCGGAGTCGTCCACTTCCAGCGTCTCCAAAATCTGCTTACACTCTTTTATCTCGTTCAGGTGTGAGTGCAGAAGGCACTTCAATAGCAGGTACAGCTTCTCGTTCTTCTTTGCCTTCAGCCCCGCTGTTATTACCTTTTCGCATTTCTTGAACGACTTCTCGTCGATCAGGTTCAGCACCTCCAGTATCTTCGAATTCATCTTGCAAGGAACGGGGGGTAGACCCGGCAAACTATCGTCGTAGAAACTGGGGGAAGTGATACCACAAAAATGGTAACTAAGACTTCTCCAAATGGGTAAACTTCAAAGTGGATTCAAAAATTATTCACGTGGGCAATTAGGCTGGTGAATCGGAACGCATATAATGGTCTAGGAATACAACATTCGTAGGAAACTCCTGTGCGTCACGTGGAGGCGGTGTGGACGGTTAAGAGGTCATATGTGTGAGTCGTTCATTATGTATTTGAAAAAAGAAAAAGCACCAATTGTGTGTGTATGTTTTTTTTTAAACTATTTGTACGTATATATAAATACATTGCACTAGAAAAGATGCCCAGTTTTCGCTTTTAAATTGGTGAGGAGGCAACAGCGCGAGAGACGCTAGGGAAGGAAGAGTACGCGGCTGGCGTGGAAGGGGCAAAATTGCGTGCTCGGTTGAGCGAACAAGAAAAGAGGGAGGAAGCGATGGGGAAAATATGACAGGGAAGATGTGACGCGGAAGAAGCAACGGGGAGGAGGTAAAAAAAAAAAACTATACAGTTAAACGCGGCAAAAATTGTGAAAAAATAAAGTTACACAGGTACGCGCCGCGAAATGGCATCAACGACGCGACGAAAAATGTAGAAAAAAATTAAATTAAAAAAACAATGAATTAGTTAATTAGTCAACTGGTTAATTGATCAACTCCTGAACTCGTCATTTGGTCACTCAGTCATTTGGTCATTCGGTCACTCGGTGATTTGGTCACTCAGTCATTTGGTCATTCGGTCACTCCGTCATTTGGTCACTCAGTCACTTGGACATTTGTTTAAATCGTGAACTCCCGAATCAACTGCGTAGAAATATAAATTCAAAAATTACTCGAGGAATCATCTCCGTGGACGTTCGCAACTGGGGGGAGAGCGAATAAACGCACTTGCAGAAAGGCACTTCACACTTAAGAGGGAATAAAAAAAAAAAATTCAGCATAGGGATAGCCCCTGTGTACGTGGCCTCTCCCGTGATAAAAAAAAGGGAGTTGAACTCCTTAATCACATACATCACGTGCTTTACCTACATTTTTGCAATGGCAAAACGACGAAGATTTTTCTTTCGCTGATATAGGGAGCATAGTTATATGCACATATACATGTTATCTACAGCAAAAATAAGTGCACATGAAACAAAGGAGGAGAGAGAAAAAAATGGTTGCCAAAATGTCGTGGCGGGAATTATACGTAGGAAGGAAAAAAATGCACAATGTTCACATGTAGATATGTACAGAGCAGCACATAGTGCAAGCTGCCTGTCGCGCAACACAGAGCAGCTTAACATATTCTTGTACAGTATATGTGTGCAGGGAAAAGAATAAACAGGAAAAAGGAAGTAGAAAAAATGATGCAACTGTTTTTTTTTTCTCAATAGGGTAAATACCTTAACCCCAATCCACAGCCCCCACAGCGAGGTATTTTCCAAGGCTATGCTGCATACGTAATTTGCACACTTGGATTGTGCCCACTTGGCTTCTGCTCTCCCCATATGTACAGCCATACACCCACCCTCTGTGTAGAAGTTGGAATTTATTTTTTTCGTTTTGCCAATATAACTTCCCCAAGATGGGAGGCATAAAAGTGTTTTCCATTTAATGCTAAGCAGCTCCACTGCCATAGTCAATTTTTTTTTTTCAAATTATACAATATGCGCACGTAACATACATTTGGAAGGTCTCCACTTAAGCTCATTTTTGATTAAAGGCATAATCCACGAATGACGAAAGAAAAAGAAGAAAAAAATGGAAGTGAAAAATAAAGTGAGATCATTTCTCGGCATTATTCTGGCCGACCCCTCATTGAAACGGTTCCTTATTTTTATCCTAGTCTCAGGAGTAATCTGGTGATGCACATTTTGCATGTTATTTCCCCAAGCAACTACCGACGTGGTGTCGTTTCTTAAACCACACTTGTGTTTATATATGTATACATAATTCTGCACATGTCTACGAGTAACTCCCTCTGATATAGCCCTGCACAAACATCTCCACCGGTGTTCATTGTACCATATTGCCTCCTCCCCCCCATATGCAGGTGTTTACCCCTCTATAAGGTGCTGATCTATGTTCTTCAAAAAAAGCACTCAAACTTGTCTTCAACTGATGATAAAATTTACGAATACGTTACAAAAATCTCAGTCATTCTCACTTACTACTACCTTTTGTGCGTAACGAACATTGGTGGTACTTCCAAATCGGTGATGAAAAATGCGCATTTGTTAAGAGGAAAGTGCGTTATTGTGACGGGTAAGTGAATGCCATTATCTCCATCGCTTTACCGACCTGTAGTCTTTACAACATTGTTATCGCGTCTGTTTTGGCAAAAGAGACCGTCCCCTTTCCGCCGTGAGTACTTCTCTTTTGATAATTTCGTTGCTGCCAATTTTTTTTTTTTTGCAGGGGGGTATAAAGGAATCGGGCTAGCAGCCGTAACGGAATTCGTCAAGTTCGGGTGCGAAGTCGTTTTGGCTTGCCGATCGGTAGAACACATGGAATTTGTGAAGACAGACTTGTTGACCAGATATCCCAAGTAAGAAAATGAGCGGCATGGAACAGATGCGTGGACAAAGCAGCATGTGATTAGCGGGACATGAACCGCTTCACGTGAACAGCCGCGCGTGTGCACCCATTGCCACATGCACCCCACACACACACACACACGCAGCGCCAAGATCCACTGTGTGCAACTTGACTTGGCAAGTTACAAAAGCGTAGAATGTTGTGCCAATCAGATACTCAGCAAATTCCCCAAAATAGATATACTAGTTAACAATGCGGGTAAAGTTTCTATTTTTTTTTTTTTTTCCTGCATCATATGTAGCTTTCAGCAATTGTGCGCCGCATTCCTCACGTGGTTGAAAGACCCCCACCCCATATCATCACTGTCTTAGCATAACCCCCATTAAATTCCATTATATATAATCCCAGGAATTGTGAGTCAAAAGCTTGAGTACGTAAATGGGATGGAAAGGACCTTCTTCATTAACTACCTTGGCCACTTCTACTTAACCAAATTGATTTATAAGCGAATCGTAGCATCGGACACGTTGGTTGTAAATCTGAGTAGCATAGCGCACAGTATGTTAAAAGAATCGGTAAGAAATATATCCTTTTTGACACTATTAGGAATGAAAAAAAAAACAAGGACGTGGGAAAAGTTCCCCCCCCAGGGAAAAGTATCCACTGCTCGGTACACCCATTCACCCCACTGCAGGATGTAAACTACGATTTGATATGCGAAAAAAGCTCCACCAGGAATACGAACTCGAATTTGCTATACCGACGGGAGTACAACTTTTCCAAGCTCTGCATGCTTTACTACACGCAGCAGTTGCAGAGGAGGTAAAAAGGGAAAGAGGCAAATGTGTGCTCTGCGCTGCGCGCTGTCTGTGGTGTAACAGGAATGGACAAAACGTGCCCTCCGATAAGTACACAGAAGAGTATATATGTATATATTTATGTATATTCGTGCCTATCCCCATTTTTCCCACCTCGTTGCCCCCCAGATTGAAGAACGAAAAGACCAAGGCGTGCGCCGTGTCCATTAACCCGGGACTGGTGCGCACTGAACTCTTCCGGAACGAAGTATCCTGGTTCAGGGCATTGGCCAAAAATTTAATTTTCTCTAAATCCCCACTGCAAGGCGCCCAGACCATTCTGTACGTTTGCGTTGCATGTGGAGTGGACCCCTTGCGTGAGCGTTTTTTTTGTTTCCCCGAGATGGGGACAGACAGTATGCCATATGCGCTAGAGGGGGCTATCGTGTGTTATATATGCATGTATCTTGGTGAATTCTATTTATTTATTTTTTTTTCTCCTCCATCCGTGCCCTCTCGCAGATATGTGTGCCTTCTAGATCGAGAGAAGTTGGCCAAGGGCTCCTACTACTCTGATTGTAGAGTGGACTATGTCAGGAGCTATGCGCGGGATCTGCAGAAGTCCGAGGTACAACCCCCAAATTGCCCTCGCAATTTATGCTCATATTTGGTTGCCACGAAAGCAGTTGATTTGTTAAATCGTCGGTGACGCAAAATCTTTGGAAAAATTAAAAAGAGAAAGGTGATGGTTAGGGGCAGCTGGCGGCCCCCAACAGGAAATGCAATTTGATGCGCGAAGGCAGACGTTCATCTCTGCCACCTACATTCGGGTGTGGGCGCGCACTGCCCTTATGCTTTCATTGTACACAAATTGCAACGCCTTCATCGTGCACGCCCCGCGCAGGAACTGTGGAGCTTCTCAGAAAAAATGCTCTCAAATAGGTGACGATCAAGCGCGCCAAGGAATTAACACGAAAATTGACCACATTATTACGCCCTTTGTGGCACTTCCTCTGGCAATGATCCGGGCGATGCCGCTCGTCACTTCACAAAATGTGCAGCGAAATAACGTGTGCAGTAATTGACGATGAAGTCGTAATAAAACTGGATGGTCTCCCTGGAGTTTTCCAAAATGCTTCCTTCGTCAACATTGGCAGTATTTGCATTAAAGAGGATGTAATAATTTTCGTGTGGATCAAATTTGTCTGCATTATTTGCACAGGGCATTGTATCAAATGATGTCTTTTTTGTAAAGTTGCAGAAGGAATGTTTCTCAACTATATTATTGTAAATATTATCATCTATGTTTTGTGTTCGTAAGAGGAAGTCTTCATACTCCACAAACTTAATTACGTACGCAAGTTGGTCATCCACATTTGCTGTTCGCAGAATTGGGATGTATTTTATGAGCACTCTTCTGAACAGCCCTTCTGCGGTCTCCCCTTTTTTTTTCTCAACAAACAAATCAAAATTGTTGTTTTCCAGTTGGTTTATTATTATCTTTTTGTTTTGTTCGTTTCTATCTAGGATTATGATGTCTGCCGGGGCTTCTCCTCCGGCCTCCGCAGGGTCACAGAAGAAGGAGCTTCCCCCTGACAGCAGTCGGCTCAATTCGTCGTAATTCTGAACACACCTGTACCATTTCTCATCAAAGTCGTAGAAGCAAAAAGGGATTAGCAAAAGAGATAGGTGCACATTAATCACATTGCAGATATGGTCATATATAAATGGCGTGTACTCATAAATATAAATATTTATAAACACCTGCCAGCGATCGTTCTTATGTATGTTAAAATTATTCTCTTTGCTTTCAAAAATGTAATCGTACAAGTTATTTATCACATTGTTTAGGTATAGGTTATTTAACTCATCACTATAGGATATCTTTATGTTAATCCCTTTGAGTTGTTTTGCCCTTTTGTCCTTCGTATGGCTATTGGCTGTATCTTTACTCTGCTCAACAATTTCGTCTTCGTCCATATTATTTTCGTCATAGTTGATGGTTAGATTGAGCTGTGAGATTAATATATTTTTCTCGCACACGTAGTATATATTACTCTGCAAGTTGTCGTCTTCCCGCGTGATGTTTAGTTTTATTTTTTTCATTTTTCCCTCCGCGGGTGAGGCGCGGTGGTGGCACGGGGATCGCACGGGAGTCGCACGTTCGCAGGGGGGGGAGGAGTGTGGGCTAGACAAGCGCTTCTGTTCGCTTCGTCCCTCAGGGTGTTCTGCTACTCTTTCACGTGACTGTGCAGCGAGGCAAACACTCGCATAGTGTTTGAGTGATACATATTCATGGCGCGCCCCACCCCCTCACACATGTCTTCTTCGCAAATGTGCGATTCACAAATGTGCGCTCTCTTTTCCCACACCGTGGACATCCACAACTGGTTGTGTCACCAGCCAGGCATAAAATGTGGCAAAAATGGAAATACCCCTCCAATTCGTGCAACAGAAAAAAAAAAAAAAAAAAAACTATCTCCCCTTGGAGGGTCCACTATATATGCCTTCTCACAGCATAAGCAAACATTATGGCTAACTTCAGAGCAACGTGAAGGTAGAACTTTCCGCTCTGCATGAAAAAAAGATAGTATAGCAATTCGGCTACAAAAAAAAGGAACTTCCACTTTTTTGACAATTGTCGGAATTGCTGTCGCCAGCGCCAAGTTTCTCCTCTCACTTGGGGGCGGTTAAAATTTTGTTTATTTCGCTGAAACTGCTCCTCAGTTGTTTTTTTTAAAGTTAACAAGGGGACGCGAAAAGAAAAAAAAATATATAAAAAAAGAAAACGAATCGAATAGAAGTCCTGCCTCACAAATACTACATGGCAACTATCCCCCTACGTGGCAGTCTCGTTAGGTGTGAATG